TTTTTTTTTTTTTTTTTTTTAGAATGTTTTAGATTCTTCAAATAACAAGTTTCACTTGTTGGTAAATTAATATTATAGCAAGAAATGTACTTCTCTTAATAATAATAAAATATATTATATTTTGTTGCTTACAAGTGGAATATTTGCAATTGAATGGAAAATAATTTTATAAAATTCTAACGAAATAATTTGTATGTGATCATTGATAAAATTGTAAACTTATATCTGAATATTTAAAGATCTTGATGGTAATTATTTAAACATAGAAAGATACATAAATAAGAAAAAATTGTTTTCTTTGGAATGAATTTTTTTAAATTGTTTTTTCAGTATATTTCATGAAAATATGCTGCAATTGCACAGGATGGATTTAGAAATCTAGTATCATAATTGGCAGTATTATAATTAATTAAATTTTTATCATTAAAAATTTAAATTTTTATCATTAAATTTAATTATGATAATTAATTTAAACAAAGATCTCTAGTTCAATAGAGAATAAAAAAATAATCTATTTTTTATTTAAACAATAAAATTATATTTCCTAAATAATATACTAGATTTTTTAACAACCTGCAGAAATGGCATATTTTATAAATTAAAGGAAAAATATAAAGAAATATTAGGATTGATAAAATATATTATTTGAAATAGTAGACTAGTTAATGTAAGCTTCCAAATACCATTTGTGTTTTAGTTATAATTTAATTGGTTTTTAGATAGTTTACATTCACTAGTCGAAATATATATTATATATGTACATCTTAATATTCTAATATTTTCTTTTATTTAATTAAATTTAAATTACGCATCATTATTCGTATAATGAATTATAAATTTAATGGAAAAAGCCAGAGAACTTGAGAACAGTAGTTATATTAACTTATCATTTAATAAAATGTAAGTAACTGTAAATATTTGATTTTTGTAAAATCAGAGAATAGGTAGGAGAGCAGAATTATATAACAAATACATCTTTGTAATAATCACTCAGTTGTTTATCCTGCACATAAGCAGATTTTTCAAAGTCTTGTATTTTGATACTGATCAAGGAATAATGTAACATTGGTGAATTTTAGAAAACTATGCAATTTAGTATTGCGCACAAATGTTAGAAAATTATCAAAAGAAATTAAGAAATTCCTTTGTACTCATTTCATCTTCAAAAATATTTTGAAATTCATAAAATGGCGCACATACAAAATTGCGTAAGTATTTCGAAAAACAAAGGAAAAAATAACAAAAACAAAAAATTAAAGGACATACATAAAACGTATTTTCGCTAAATAATGTATGAAGTGTTTAAGTTCTGACTTACCAAATGAAATTAACAAAACAAACATAAAAAGAAATTTATTTTTTCTGTACAACTGACTATAACAAAGAAGAAATAATATTTTCGAATTCGTCTGTAACGTAAAGTGAAATGTAGCAAACCATAGCATGGAAAATGAAAACGAAAAAAATTATGATACCTAATTCACAAAACACGTAGCTTAAAACTTATAAAACTGTATTTTAAATGTGAAAACATTCACTGCCAAATTGTGATAAACAAATCCCACCTTTAAACCGGAGCGTTTTCTTAACTTCTGATCGCATTGACCAATTATTTCCTCCTAAATAGTTACCGTGAATTCTGCACATTCTGATATAATAGTCATCTATATTTTTTCTTAATGTTTAAGATATAATATCGAAGAGAATATAGCGTTGACCAATGCAGCTAGAATCGAAGGAAACCGCTCCCTATTTTAAGTGCGTAGCATCGTAACAAAAAGAAAGAAAAAAGTAAATAAATGAAAAAGGAAGAAAGAAAAAAGATCGTATTGATATTTTTAAACGGGCACGTTTTACTGTTTAAAAAGTACCATCTGGACCGCCTATAGCGCTCTTCTATAATATTGTATGTTTACGTGTACAGTGCCTTTATACCTGAAAAAAGAGACAAAATGAAAAAAAAAAAGAAAGAATGGAAAAGAACATTTTAAAAGAAAAAAAAATACCTTTGCTTTCGAGAAATCAATGTAGATACACAAAACTTCCCTCACTTTAGACACAGGTATATGTAGAATTTTAAAATAGAGAAAATATATGGGAAACATGAGTTTTTTTAGTCTTTCGCATTAATTTCTCGAAAAGTCAAGGCATGCGGTCCCTCCTACGTGTCGCAAACATTCTTCTAATTAGGTTCAGATTGTAATGATTACCTAATTATAATTAATGTAATTAGATTATTATTATGAAGTATGTTGTAAAAGTGTACAGTTTGGATCGGGTGATCCCTTTATGCGGGAGATCATGCTGTAGCTAGCCTTATTATTATCATTACAACTATTATTA